GGTTGAACTAGCACCAATGAGATGTACATCTTCACTACAGATCTCATTTGTACGGCTACATCCCGCACGGTAGCGATAAGATATACGTGTCTTATCAAGAAACAATTAGAGAAAAACAGGAATAAAGAATTAAACAAAAAGTACATAGAAATAACAAGCAAGTACAAATGAGAGTAAAGTACTTGTCGTGGGGAATGGACAGAGGGTTGGTGCTCTGGATGGCAGTTGCTGTTCCCACGTGTTGTTGGGTTACTTCTTCAACCTATCCGGTTTTCCTGGTCAGCGGTGTAGATGGCGGTACTGCTGCTTGCGGTGACGTTGCTGGTCCAACTGATGGTCCAACAAGCGTACGGTGGCATGCAGCTTGGCGATCTCTTCCCGCACGGTTGACTGTTGATATCGCTTTCCCGGGCCAGCCGGTGCTGCGATATTGGCGTAGTAGGCTGCGGTACTGGTAGTATGGAGTGCCAAAGGATGTACTCTGTCCGGTGCTGAGGAATTTGATGAAGCACGTCCTGGTTGCTCTGTGGCTTTCTCTGTGTAAGCCATCAGAGATCGATGCATTATGTAGCCAAGCGGCGGCCCGAGCCTGCAGTGGGACAGTCTTACTGCTCGTGGAGTGTCTCAGCTTACTCTCCATACTGTCTTCGCTCAGAAAAAATTACTGAAGTGTAGCGCTTAATTGCTCTTTTCCCAGGACAAGAATGCCGAGTGCAGGCTGGGCAGGAGAATGTTAAGTGAAAACGAATGCAGGTCAAGAAGTCTTATACTATACCGGCAACGTAAATCGCAAAATTTAATGCTGTCAAAATGAGCAAAATAATATCAAAATCCAAAAGCAAGTTGCTGTATTGTTAGCTTTCAGAGTAACGGTAGGTTACTGTTCGAACGGCGGAAGTACGATTGTACTTAGTTCTTAAAATAAAAGATACTCGTAGTCAAAATCCTTATATCAGGTGGAGTTATAATTAATTTTACTGTTTATTGTAAATTAACTGTCGATACTCATCCAAAGGTTGCTTTGCTGTCGGAAGGTGGCAGAACGGCTTTTCCGGTCCTTCATGTGATCAGTCCAAAGGCAGAAAAACAAATTCGCGTAGAAAACAATTACTGGTCAAAGACACCCAAGGAAGCGCCATGCAACGACAACTTCTAAGCTGCCACTAGTGGAGTGGGTTAATCCACCCGTACCACGATAAAACGAGGTTTGATGGTTCGTCGGTGACCGTCGGTGATGTTACGAGTTAGCGAATTACTCAAAAGTCAGTTATGCAATTGCGAACATGTTAACCGATACCGGCGCGATTGTCAAAGTGCACAAACATTTTTAATCAGCTGAAAAGTCATTGGGGAAGAGCAAGGGCAAGGGGAAGAGCAAGAATGATTTCAGAACATTCAGACAATCTCAGAAGTCTAGAAAATCCACGTCAGAACTGGTCATCTCGTACAAGTACACATTCAGATGTTTCCGGTTGAACTAGCACCAATGAGATGTACATCTTCACTACAGATCTCATTTGTACGGCTACAATATAGATATTTGACGTACAAGGCTACAACAAAATCATCAAAATCGAAAAAAGCGGGAGCAGCCGCGGCGCGTGCAGAGCAGGATAAAGTGGTGAAGTATCGTGACATCACACGGGCCCCCGCTCAAGCTCTGACTCTGACTCAGACCGCTCAAACTCTGACTCTGACCACTCAAATTCTGACTGACTGTCCAGACCTAAGAAAAACCTAGTAAACCTAAGAAATCTAACAGACCTAAGCAAAACCTAAAAAACCTAAAAAAACCTAAGAAACCTAAGAAGCCTAAGAAACCTAAGAATAACCTAAGAATTCTAAGAAACCTAAGAAAACCCTAAGAACCTAAGAAAACCTAAGAAACCTTCAGAATCAGAGTCAGACTTTTAGTAGTCACAGTCAGACTTTGAGCGGTCAGAGTCAGACTTTGAATAGTCAGAATCAGAGTCAGAGTTTGAGTCTGGGCCCATCACACCGGACTACGTGTTCCGTGCAATGCGTGTCGAAACACTCGGACCTTTGGGACCAGACGCCTCTCGCATGGTCACCGAACTCGAGCAGATTGAGTATCAGCGATTCAGCACTGAAATCCAACGCGGGAATGCGGCCTCGGTCATGGAAACAGCACTAGCATCGGCTAATTTAGATGAGATGTTCTGTATAATTAGGCCGCCTATTTCTGCTGTCGGCTGAGGCTGTGGAATTAGTGGATCCTTATTATGATAGAAAAATTGTGACTTTTTTAGTCCGCCAATTAATAAAGAAATAAAACAAATCAGTATGTATGTAAACCCAAGTACCCAAATGCTGCAGCGATTAATAGTCATAAATTTAACGACTATTATAGTTGCAGTACTTGGATTTCTGTAGGTTACATCTGCATCTTATTATCATGGTGTTGGTATCTCAGCACCACAGAAATTAAGCGCTACACGTGTTTGTAGACGTAATCCGTATCGTAACAGTTGCCAAAACACTTTTGTGTCAATATTTGCAACTATTGTTTGAAGTTGGTAAATAACTTTAATTAAATCTTATTGCTCGTAATGTTTCCGAACTTGAATGTAAGGGACCGAATGGAACACCGAATAGTAAATATTATTTTACAAGCCGTGCTCATGTGAATATAGTCTTACGATTAGGTACCTACCAAACCTCCAAAACAAACTTTCTCTAGTTTGTTTAGGATAACCCATCCGTCTTGAACAACTATGTGTGTAATATCTGTACGGTAGTAGACAGCGAACGTTTTCGGACTTTTGCCACAAAGAAGAATTTTAGTCTCATCTGAGAACAGCTCACCTACACATTCTGCATGATCGATTGACTTGCAAAGATTATTCAAACAAAAACAAAAAATTATGGTGGTTATTACTATGCGTTGATCAAAAATTCTTAGTTAGAGGCGCAGTGAAAGCAGCATAGTACGAATTGCAGTAAAAGTGTCATAGTACGATGGAGCATAGTACGATTCTCTGCGCGGTAATCGACAGAAAAGGATAGACATCACTGGCATAACGAGCCGTACGTTATGGAGCGGCTTCTGTTATAATTTAAAAAGACAATTGCCGCACAGAGCTAGGGACGGTTTTATGACTGACATAAAAACCGGCTTAGAGACAGCAGCGATATCTATGTATGTATAAATAGTCTCCATGCACGATTATTTTATTGGTCTTCTAAGGTCTTGTTTGCAAATTACACCAAAATTACACTGGTCGCGTAAGACGGTATCGTTTAACGCCATATTTTACAGCTGTTCGTCAAAGTTATTGAAAGTGCTTTCCACACATACTAAAACTTATGTACATACACACATACATAGTTGTACGGCAACCGCACTGCGACTGCAGAAAAAGCATAGAGTGCAATTACATAATCGTTTTGTCTTACGTTTTGTCTTTGACAGTAAAAAGCCCTAAACAAATAATTAATTATGTACTCAAAATGCAGTAAAAACCGCCGGATTTTTTTACGCTGAACTGTGACGACATCGTCACTAGTCGAACCGCACCGCCATCGCTCCGTCATTAGTCACCGGAAGTGCGCGTGCAGGTATGCCGCGCACATTCCCGCGCGGTCATGTTACATCATGCTGACGGCATATTACATCACTATGCCGTCATGCGCCCCGCCATTGGATCCTCCCTACACCGGCCCCGCCCGCGATCGCCGAGCGCACCTCGACCGGGACGATATTTAAAGCCCCCTCCACTACAGCACCAAATCAGTCCATTGCGAGCCTCCCTGGCATAGCTAGCTTAGCATTAGCATTGTTATAGTGGGCATAGTGACATTGTTGATTAAAGGTCTCAGACATACGGGTGCGTTGTGCGTTGTCTAATTGCATAGGTACACATAGGTACACATAAAGGTCATCGTCGACCTGCACAGGTAGCACAGGTAGCACACAAGAGGCGCTTACAAGAGAACTCATATTGCGACAGAACTAGGATCACAATTAAGGAATTCACTAACGCAACCGTTTCGTTTAAACCGGTCGTCTCGTATTCTGGATAATTCTTCGCCGACAGAGGGTAGGGTTGTGAAAGCAGCTGTTGTAGAGGACCAACTAGATATACAATTCCGTTGAAAAACAAGCTGAGAATGCAAGCGGCCAGCACAAACGCTTCCTACAATAACGAGATTCTACATCTTTGTGCTACTGTTTTACAAGTATATGAGATAACACTCGTAACAATAACTTTGCATTTAATACACACATTTCTGATAGTAAAGTTTATTAAAATAATTAATAAAATTGTTATTGTAGTATTGTGCCAGTAAGTACGGTATTTGAAATCATGATCTAGATTTTGCATATAGCGTGGCGTAGCGCGTTGCAGTATTTCAAGTGGCTCAGATCGTTGTTTCTCGGATTTTGGTGTTACAGTATCAGTTTGTGTGTGAACGAGATTGTTGTTGCTACTATACTTCTGTTTGGTGCGGTAGCGGACTGGGAGTTGGCAGTCTGCAAGCCTACGTCTTGGTGCCTATGAAGCCGATGCGCCAGCGTGAAAAGAGTTATTCCAGTCTTTTTACTAGACCGTTTAGTTTGCTGGACCGTTTGGAGTGCTTGTAGCATGACATTTTGTGGAGCGATAAAATCTGTAAGTGCTTGTTATCCAGGTATCGCGATTGAATTTTCCAGTTACATTATCACGCAACTTACATAACTCATTCTTCAGGATGTTTAGTCAGCGTTACGGTAACCCTTTTTTAACTGCAAGGACAAAACCACTGATTTACATAACTTATACAGTTGTAGAGTAAGAACTCGTGCTTTAACGCAGATCCAACAGCATTGCATAATGCGTACGTCGGCCGTTTATTAAAAAAAAGGATGGAATCTTGCACGTTGCATCAGCCTGTCACTAAAGCCTTGAAATTAAATCACTACATAGCTCACCAAATAAAATTTTTAAATCTAGTTTTACTATAGCTAGTTACAGAAAACGTTGTTGCGCCCTGTTTCACTTTACGCTGTTGCTAAAATGTTTGTTCTTGTGTTGACCTATGTCTCGTTACTGTATGCCGATTTAACGCAATCGATCGAGCACCTTCCGCCGGATGTCCAGAATTCTTTGGGAATCCGTTTTGGTAGAGAAGCTATCCCGCATGCTTATCCGTGGTTAGTTTCGATACAAATGGAATACACCACCAACCATTTCATGCACCAAGCCGGTGGGACGTTGGTGAGCGAACATATTTTAATTCGTGGAAAATATAAAACTAGCTTCCTTTAAAACGTATTTAGTGAGAGATTACATACTGAAGCCATTTCTTATGTTGGTATTCAGTGCATCAAAGCACAAAGCTTTAACACTTTTGCAGATTAATTCCAAGCAAGTTGTAACAGCAGCGCACGTTTGTCGAGAGGTCGTCAAGCGAGAAGGTGTGAGATTCAGATGTTTGTTTGGCAAACACGACGTCAGCCAAACCGAAGAAGGCGAATTGGTTATTGGAGTGAAGGCCGTCAGCTGTTACAAACACTTTAACTACGACAAATTTCTGCACGACATTTGCGTGATACAACTACAGTCCGTAAGTATACTAGAAAAATGCACGTTTGGCGTGCATTGGCAGACCGGAGCGAGGTTAATGTGACGAAAAAAGTCCACTACGAAAAAATTGTCCAATAAAACATTTCTGTCGCTTATTTTTTATAAAGGGGTTGGTAAGTGTTGACAGTTACGGCTGAGGCAGTTCTAATACTCGTACGGATAAAAGTATCCCTCATAACGCAGGTTGAGCAACTGGTAAAATTTCGTTGGCTTTAAATGAAAAAGATGAAGTTCAAATTTTACATTCAAAAATTGAGCATTAACGTGTGACAAATTAACAAACAAAATCATTTTTACAACGTTTTTTAAGGCTTTTTAAAAGTTGTTTGTCCGAAAACCCTATTTGCGCTAGAACGGTTAAGAGATATCGTTTTGAAACAAGTGGTCAAGAAGGGAGAAATGATAAGATGCCGACAGGACTTCAGTTTTGACATGTTACATACAGTAACTTACCAGGGCACATAGGCATCCTCCAAATTCAAAAAATTCTAGTATTTTGTAAAATGGTAGTGCACTATTATAGATTGCTTAAAAAAAATACTTCTATCTGCTATCGTCAAGGGGCGTGGCTATACAACAATTAAAAGTTACAGGTTATTCGTAATTACTATTTTAACTTTTTACTGCAGGCAGCACCGTGGACTTTTGTAGCCGTCAGTGATGTAAAGTAGTACTTGGGGCGGCTCGTGCCATTGCTGCCTGTGTGCACATTTTCGAAAATTTGTTTCTAAATACAGCACGTATTCAGATCTATTCATTAGTGGTAAAAAGTATTTTGCACAAATGATTGTTTACAACACAAATCGATGAAAATTTTTCGAAAATGTGTACTCATGCAGCATTGGTCCGAGCCGCCGCAAGTTGGCTTCTTTTACATCATTTAATACTCGACGGCTGCAAAAGTTCACGGTGATGCAGTAGAAAGTAACATAATATAATTACGAATAACCTGTACTGCACTTCATTAATTACACAGTGATTGTATGCAAACTTTTAATTGTTGAAGAGCTGACGATGGCAGATAAAAATATTTTTTTAAGCATACTATGATAGCACACTAACATTTTACAAAACATGAGAATTTTTTGAATTTGAAGGATGCCTGTGTGCCCTGGTTAAACGAAACCCCAGGGTTACTTCGGTTTCACAAGTGGACTGCAAAGATCGGGCAGTGGAGGTGGTGTTAGGGCTGATAAACTACTTGGTAGGAGAAGCCGCAAATTTCCCGAATATTGCATAAAAATTATGAACGCGCGACCTTTAGAGATAAAACGGTATTGTGAAAATTATTTTATGAAGTGAATAATAACCACGGGTATAGAGGTGCAGTTATAAGTTTTGATCTTCCAACTGACAGAAGAAGAATCAAATCACCAAGGTTTTATCATGAAGCTCCTTGATATCGCAGATTATCACCAAAAGATTGGTATTTCAACCATGGTATCTTAGGAGACACCGAAAATCGCCAGTGGAGATCTTTTTGCCGTGGTCAGTGTTGCCGGTCACTCTTTTGTGCAAATACATGAGATGTATTTGCACATCAACAGTTCTTCGTTTCTTGCGTAACGAACAAAAATTATTATTGCAAGAACTTCCGCCTAGGTCCGCACCAGAACAACACTTAACAATGACATCACGGCGGTTACCTGCGGTAACTATTTCCGTAACGAATTAACAGAATAAAGTGCTGCAGTACCGCTGTATGAATCGACTGTGACCGTGCAGTCAGATGAGTTGCCCATAACGTCATATACAACGCCTGCAGTGACGTCATAGCGGTCAGCTGCGTGGCATACTGAGTCACGCCGTGACGTCACGTGTTACTTTTGTAACACAGGCCGTAACGGACAGAAATCAATGGCTGCAGTGTTCCTCTATAGGGCCATTACAGCATGGTGCCAGCGATGACATCATTGCTGTCGGCTGCGATGACGTCATACTATTACTTCCGTAACGGAATTCCGTAACGAATTTCCGTAACGGACAGAAATCAACGAATGCATTGGTCTTGAATTAAGAGGACCTTCGCTTCGCTCCGGTCGATTATCAATTAAAAATTAATTTTTTCATATTTAATATTTATGTTACTAAATTCTGCTATCAATGGATATAAGAAAAATTTTACTCTTTCCAGTCTTTTGTAATAACAGGAGTGCAAAGCAGCATATTATTTAGGTTTCAGTAAAAAAAAATTCATACATGAATAATGAATATATTAACATATAATAATTATATACGTTATCAGATTGAGTTAACTTCATTTACGTCTTTAATTTTTATCAGTTTATGAATTAGGATATGCAAATGCTGAAATATAATTAAAATAAATGCAATTTTAATCGTTTTAGGAAGTTCCCGCATTTACAAGTCGTATTTCTCCGGCCACCTTGGCGGATTCAGAATCGTCACTGCCACGTTCTTGCATACTAGCAGGATGGGGCAGCGATGGCTACTGGCCAGTAACGCCAAAGTTGCAAGAAATGACCGTGTCTCTAATGGATATTTCGGTTTGTCAGAAACTGGATCCGCTGTTTCCAAAGATAGATATTTGCAGTCAGGATAAACCTTATCCGAAGCACGGAGACAGCGGAGGGCCCTTGATGTGCAAGTTCAACGGTCAGTTGAAGGTGGTCGGCGTGCATTCCTATCTGTAAGTCTCCTTGATATGAAATTGCCGCCTTCCATTGCTTTTAACCTCTCTGCATGGCAAGTTAATTTATCGTGTTTCTTGATTAGAAAACTTTTACAGTTGATAAACATATGCTGTATCCGGTTGTGTAGACGGTTAATAATGCAATATAATAATTAGACCTTGGCCTAATTATTACATTTAATTTGATAATCTTTATGTTAATATTTCTGAGCCAAGCACGGTACATCATGTCCAGTTGCAATATCATACTCTCGACAGGTTTAAACATTTACAGTACATGGTACAGGAATATTTTAGTTAAGTACGTTATTTTCAGCCTCTACGTGTTGTACCAATGTCGACCCGATTTTTTGTTTGATCACAATATTGCACGTGCTTGTATTTACAGTGTGAAGAAAAAAGCCGGTGATATGAGGTGCGCTGCACATACGGACATACGCCTTTACGGTGACTTCATAGCGAAACCGCCCAAAGATCCAAAATACTGCTTAGGCGGCAGACCTACGTGCAGTGGACCCAATTGCATATGGAACGTAAAACAAAATAATTATGTGTTAGTATGATGGCACATTATTGTGTTGCAAGTTGCAAAATATATCAGTTTTAAATTAGCCAAAATGCAGTATAGGATTCTGCAATTTACTTTTTTTAAATGCAGATTTGTGTTCAGTACACGGAAATGGCATTTAATTTATGGAAATTGTTATCGAAGTAACGATATCTGACATACATAGGCCATTGAAGATACACGTAAGGCGTAACGTAGGGCTTGCGGGATCTGGTAAAGAGTTTAGCACAGCCAATATGTCAGTATTTCTCACTGAACCATTACGCAGGAATCAAACTACCGTACATTTGCACAGCGCATTTCACTAAATTAATAATTCAGAATAACCCGTTCACTGTTCACAAAACAGTGTACTAAAACACTGGAAAAAATAGCAAAAACTTGTAGTAGGATTTAAAATCTGAAATTACTAATTATGAATTTGTTGTAGAGGGACATCTCAATTTAGGCGAAACAAGATAATAATTATAATACTTTCAGTTTAACGGCTATATCGGGAAAAAAACATACTAAATTTTTTCCTGTCGGTTTCCAAAACTGATTCAAATGATCACTTCCCGGTGAACTTCAGTACTTAACTAGGCAGCTTCCAAAAACTTCTGTCTTGACAGACAAGTATTCCTGTGTCCCTTGATGTAGCAGGATTGAAAGCACGTCATTCGTTTAATGTGTTCTCAAAGAGAATTAACGCTGGGAAACAGTATTCGCCGAGTGCTTGGCAGACGGCGACCTTACGGTTAGCTCCAGGTTAGCGAAAATCGTTTGAGAGATTACACAGCCGATGGTTGACCGGTCGGCGCAGCGTAATCCATGCGAACAATTAAGAGAACGCTTTAAACTTGGCCGAAAAAAAAGCTGTACAGGCAAATGTACAGTACATGAACGAGTACAAGAGTTAAAAAATGTAGACATAGTGGAGGCGCTACGATCAGTCACAGTGTTACTGGGCTGATTCTTGGCATACAGTAGTGTGTTTCATTACTGGCAAGTGGAAACTGCACAATAATGAAGCGCACCATTCAACCGTCGAGCTTAGTCAGTATAACATTATGCGATGAGAGTAATAATGGTATGATTGATTTCCATATTTGTCCTGATACAGATACAAAACCAATCTCCTATATTTCGACTAACAGCGCCGTTTGAATTTTGGCATTTCCATATAATTTTTATATTAACGGAGCGCAATCAGCGCATCATGTCTGGCGTATTACGAAAAGAGCGCGGGATGTGTTGGATAAACATGGGCCAGATTCGCCTGCATTTCGCCATTCCCCATCCGGCCAGAATGCAGTCGACGGAGTGCATCTTCGGGATGAGGTATGAAGAAATTGCGGACGGTGAAATACTTCTGAGTTCCGATCGCTCTACACCGCAATGTAACGATGGCTTCAGAATTATTCCTTTTTCTGTGGGATTAATATTCATGGACTGCAGCATGTGGATGCGATTGCTGTCGTGAAGGTGAATTTAATTCGGCCGACCAGACGTGTACATTTTTTGATTATAGCTAAACAGACCGGATTTGCAGATAATGGATGGTGCTGATTTTCTGCGTACTACTCCCAGCTCACTTAAAGAACTTTTGACTAATAAAAATATGCAGTTGTGGCTTATTATAATGACTAACAATTTTATATACAAACGCATGGGTCAGATTTTTTCGCTCTTTTCCTGGCCATTGTTGCGTTTAGACTGCATAAGGCTATATCGCAATCCGTTAGTACTGGGAAATTTTCTGCAGAGAGTAAATGGCAGAAGCGTGTTATGTGCTACGAGAGGTACACTGAAAAGCGCAGAAAAGAGCAAAAGATCGTTAAATTTCCATTCAATGGAATATTAAAATTGGCCACCGTATGGTATGTATATATCGGCAATAATCAACTGGCCAATGAGCAAAGTAACAAACGTTTTGTCTGGGCACAAATGGCGGTATAATCGGTTGCGATAGTACTAGGCCTTGCATGGGAAATTGCAGCCTTTGCTCCTAGTTTTGCGCTTAACTCGAGGTTCCCAGTGGAAATTCATTTTGGGGTTTATAACTCATTGTAAAGAATAAAGTATCCTCTATCAGAATATGGCGCTATCATGTACGTAAAAAAATTGTTCACGTTAAAAAACAATTTTCCGTTATGAGTGTCGAAGGGGGAAGCGCTGATCAACAGAGAAGAAGCGGCTAGCGCTGCTTTTAGACTATCCGGGTTATGAATCCGGTCTTTTATGGTCAAGACAAAGCCACTAGAATAGACCAAGCCAAGAAACGACCCTCTTAGTAGGTCACGTGGCCCCGCCAGCTCCGCTGATTAGAAGGGAACGCAGACCAGCGTCCTTTGATAATTTTTGTAATTTATTCAATAAATAATTCCTGATGCAAGTTAGGTGGATGCGTTTGCTGTAAGAGTGATACAGAACAATGTGGCGAAACCGATGCAACCTTTTAAAAAATGTATAAATGAACCAGGATAGTGATACCGCATGATTCGGGAAACATTCTATTCATCCCATTCATTCCGTGGTATTGTCTTTGTAAATCGAGGTCATGCGGGTACGCATCGTAATGAATGGAAATTCGACTCAGAAATTGATAAAAATTTGTAAGCCAAGATGTTTGATGTGGTCAAGTTACCAAAAATTCGAACACGGTATACTACTGAGGGTTACCCTTACACAGTTTTTAATATCTTGCATGCATGAATTGTTATCGTTTATATACCACTTTTTTCAACCGTTTCTCCGTAGACTCGTATGCTAGCTCAGCGGAGTAGGCGTTCCTGATCTTATCTCGTTTCTTGGCTTGGTCTATTCTAGTGGCTTTGGTCAAGAGCGATGGAAGGGATTCTGATGCAAAGCTATTGTTAGTGCAGGTGAAGTAATCAGCCGTTTCAAAGGAATGCTGAGCCGAAGCAATTAGTGACAGGATGGTGTGATAACTTAGTTGACTGACGGCTATTGTCTTTGCATTCGGCGTGCGCGTCTGCCGTCTCTCTGTCCTTTCATTTGCTTTACTCAGCGTTCCAGCTGAAGATTTTCTGTACCAAACATAGCACAACAAAACACGGGCGACTTTAAACGCGTATTATGAGAAATCAAACTTAATTTCACAACAAATCAATGCGTTATCAAAAAATTACTCAAAAAGTGTCGTTAAATCGAACACTACCTGCTGAGCTTGTTACACATACCGTTTTTTGATATCATGTAAGCTTTAGGAGTTACAGCAGAAAATGTTCAGGGGCGGCACCGCCCCACCACCCCTGGATCGGTTTTTAACACTTTAAATTTTTAGTAACAATGATATTGAAATTTCCAATGTGTGATAAGCTTTCACACTGTTTCCGCACCGAATAGCGTTTCCAGAAATTTTTTTGGATGAACAGTACTCAGTAAATTTCACCCTGAAATTTTTGACTTTAAAACTTTTTAATAAGTTTACTGTGAGCAAAATAAACTTTTTGCTAACGCTATAACGTAGTAAAATCATATTCCTGATATATCGTCAAGCGCGTTTGATGTAAAGTCGTGCTATGACCGTGTTATATGAGTTACCGCAGAGGGACCGAACCACTGGGAACCTCGCGTTAACTCGAAAAGCCCTAGCTATCACAGCACTGGTTGCGGCTTTATTGGAGGCTAATGGCTAATCGCGCGATTTCCGCTGGATCACCGTCAATGTGTGAAAACATATTTCAGTCAAAATCAATTTTTCTCACTTGAAACATGTTCGAATAGATTCTAGAATGCTTCTTGGTACTAAAAACAGTCGGTTTGCTTGCCCACCGTATAAGGTGATTCACTGCCCTACTCAAGGGGCTTCACTGTATTGTATACAGTGAAGAAGTCTGTATTGTATGAAAATACAATACAGCCCCTAGAGAACCGCGTTGGGTGATTTTACCAGGGCAGTAAGGCGTCTATGCCTGTGCGTATATGGAGAACTTTATCCATGAAGACTATAGACACGAGCAACTGCAGTATTGTCCGCTACGTGTTGGGCCAGCTGTCCGCATCCATGCTCGCTGACCAGCACGGCAACGGTCAAGGAAGTCGGAACGCCGATAACTAGAGCCAAAACTGTACTCAAGGGGTTAGCACTCCTTGAGTAGTGCTAACTAAACGAGTGCTAACCCCTTGATTACAGTTTTGCTAGAGCCATGGCTACAGACTTCAGTACACTTTCCAGAAACCTTTCGCTATGGGAAATAGTTAGCAATACCTGCTATGCAATATTATCTGTAATCTGCTTAATTACACATAATATTAATAGTAAAATATATATATAATAATTATTAGATTCATATGAACAGAGTTACATCGTAAGTATTTCTTAAATAAATGAACATATCTTGTCGGTTGGTTATTATTACATAATTTTTTGTTGCTGGCTTGCAACTTTGGCCGGCTTGGTTGAATTCTGATGCTCACATACATAAAGTTGCTTAAGGGGATCACTAGCAGTAGAAAGCGGGTTTGGGAAAACAGAAATGGTTTGAAAACGATGGCCAGATATGTGTTTTCACAACTTTGACTGAACGCAGAGAGGATTTAGCTACACAATGGTGTGGCGCGATCCTCTCTGGCCTGTGTCTAGACCGAGCTATTCATCAAACAAAGAAAAAACTTTGAAACTAAAAGTTGAATGAGAAAGTTTCTTTCTTTATAATGTAATATACATCGTTGTGCGTGGTTTCTTCTAGAAAGCTTATATACCGAAACATGTAAAAGAAAATTTCAAAATGTTTCAAATAAAACGCAAAAAACACTTTTCGAAAAGTGTTTTTTGCAGTTATTTGGAGTGCTATCTGTTGTGCAACATTGGAGTTTCGGTATATAAGCTTTCTAGAAGAAAACACGCACAACGATGCATATTACATCATAAAGAAAGAAACTTTCTCATTCAACTTTTAGTTTCAAAGTTTTTTCTTTGTTTGATGAATAGCTCGGTCTAGACACAGGCCAGAGAGGATCGCGCCACACCATTGTGTAGCTAAATCCTCTCTGCGTTCAGTCAAAGTTGTGAAAACACATATCTGGCCATCGTTTTCAAACCATTCCTGTTCTCCCAAACCCGCTTTCTACTGCTAGTGATCCCTTAAACAGAGAACAACAGTTCGACCGCGATAACTTTACTGGATTCGGTGGACTGCGCTCATATGAACCAGATAATGCACCCTAATAATCATGTTATATGGAGCATTTAATTTATTTTATTCAGATCGCATCAGAGCATGGCACGCCCAGTTGGTTAAACGTCATGATGAAAGTCTAGCGAAAATATAAAATCAATACAAGTAGATATTTTGATGGCTTTCTACATGTGGCTTCGGTTTCAACTTTTCCTTTTTCTGCTATATATGTAGACTCCGAAGAGGCGCAGACTTACCGGTCACCGAAGTGGAGGCCATCGCCAGCAGTACACCGCTGTCCACTGCGCTGTCCAACGCGACCGACGTTGAAAAAGAAACTGTGACGATGGATGGCGTGAATGAGACCGAGTCCGCCACCGAATTCGATTGGGTGCCGTCGGATCAGCGCCGCTACACGATGTTCCCGCCCGGTTGCCCGGCCTGCACCGCAACTGTCCCTGTCCGCCATGCAAGCGCAAACGCAAGCATTTGTAAATTACAGTAATATGATGGTCAGTTACTACTCATTTTTGCTGTTGTCTCCGCACGTTGCTGTTTAGCATGTAAGCGTTTATGTAATAATGAAATAAGGTGACTGGGACGGCTGCTTGTTTTTCATACACAGATATTTACAGTCTCGGTAATTTCGATGTGCGCGCAACCATTTTATCGCTTGTACGTAAAAGCCGAAATGCTCAAAAAGAGAGCAGAGGCAGCAATTGTAAACTAGCGGTGGTTGTTAGCGGTGGTTGTTACCACAATACTGCACGTAGCGCGGACGCCAATACCACTGAGTAGTGGTACTGGGTTTGTGAAATTGGAAAAGTGAGCCGTGACGCTCTTCGTGACGTCAGACAAATTTATGCTCTTGACGATCAGTTAATAGCAGCACCTCGCGCTTCGTGCAAATGAACTTCTTACTGTTAGCAGAGCTGCAACGGCAACAACCGGTCGAAAGTAAATCCCAAAAGTAAAATAACGCGTGGTAAAGCCGAAAATAAAATAAATTTTTGGAAGACTCGCATTCTGCGTGGTCATTATCCAGAAAGAGAAAAATATTTTACGAGAAAGACATGTTTTCGAAAGGAAACTAATCGTAAAAAATGACTTTTCGCAACTATAAAAAAAATTTCAGCAGATTTTTTCTGGATAAACTAATAATAAATTGCCGAAAGATTCTCAAAGAATTGCTTTGGGTCTGTTAAAAAAGCATAATACCATATACATACAGTACAGTGTATGACGAAATGGTCGCATAGCCCCATACCCAGCACTCTGTACGCAAGCGGTGCAGTGCACTTGTACGAAACGGATATTTTGAACGCAGTCGTACAGTGCA